AAAAAAAAAAAAAAAGAAATGCAAAATCTCATCCCTACCCCAGATCTCCTGAGTCACAACCTGCATTTTTATAAGATCCCCCCCAAAAATCAAGGGCACAATAAAGTTTGAAGCCCAGGTTTGCGGGATTTTAATGGACTCTTCTAATGGCCACATTCCAGATAACACATTCCACATGTGGCTATTTAAATTTAACTCAATCAAAATTTGTCAACTATACTTAAAATAAATAAATCTAAAATAAATGAAATAATCAAAATGAGTTTCTCAGTTGCACTAGCTACATGTCAAGTGCTCAATAGCCACATGAAGCTAGTTGTCATCACAGAAAGTTCTGTTGAACATGCTCTTCTAGAGTCTTGGGACCTAAGATGTGCAGCTAAAAAGTATTTGGCCTGGGTGCACCTGGTGGCTCAGCTGGTTAAACATCTGACTCTTGGTTTTGGCTCAGGTCATGATCTCAGGGTTGTGAGATCAAGTCCCACTTTAGGCTTCACACTCAGCAAAGAGTCTGCTTGAGATTCTCTCTCTCCCTCTTCCTCTGTCCCTCCCCCTGCTCCCTCTCGCACTCTCTCTCTCTCAAATAAATCTTTAAAAAAAAATCTTTGGCCTGATTTGTGAGTGAGGACCCCTCCAGGTTAGTCTATTTCTTCGTTACTCATTTAGCACACACACATTCGGCCCCTCCTGTATGCCAGGGTCTGTGCTTAGAAGGAGAGCTACAGTCGAGGTGAGACATCAGCCCTATCATGTAGGGGCGGCAGGTCCTAACTCGCAAACCTGGCTGGGCACCCTCATCACGGGGAGATGTATAAAATACACTACATCAAAATAAATAAATAGAAAGAAAATCTGAAGAAAAAAAAAAATACCACTTTCTACGCCTCTCCCCGGAGACTGTGATCGAGTGGGCCACTCGAATCCTTACATGACTCTGATGCAGGCCCTGGGAAGGTGCCAGTCGAACGTGAGACAGATGCTGACACAGCAACTTGATGCCTCCTGCAAGAACTGGGACTGGGAGCAAGTGAGAGCCTTGCAGGCCCTTAGCGGGCATGTGAACCACAATCCCTGGGCTTTGCCTCCATAGCTCATTTAATAACAAGCCTATAAAACCTATGAAGTGAGACTCTTTTTTTTTTTAAGATTTTATTTATTACCTGACAGAGAGAGAATGAGAGAGAGAGAGCACATGAGAGGGGGGAGGGTCAGAGGGAGAAGCAGACTCCCCGCCGAGCAGGAAGCCCGATGCGGGACTCGATCCCGGGACTCCAGGATCATGACCTGAGCCGAAGGCAGTCACTTAACCGACTGAGCCACCCAGGCGCCCGAAGTGAGACTCTTAACTATGGGAAAGAAACTGAGGGTTACTGGAGAGGAATTGGTTGGGGATTGGGGTAACTGGGTGACAGGCATTAAGGAGGGCACGTGATGTGATGAGCACTGTGTTATAGGCAGCCGATGAATTACTGAACTCTACCTCTGAAACTAATGATGTACTATATGTTGACTAATTGTATTTAGATTTTTAAAAATGAAAAAAAAAAAAAAAAAACAACCCACCTATGAGTATGAACCCGTATCACCGCCACTTACGCTGAGGAACCTGGGGCTCAGAGAGGCTAAGCCTGCCCTGTTCCACACAGCCGGTAAGAAGCAGAGCCGGGATTCACAGCAGGTGCTCAGGCCTCTGAATCCAAGGCCTGTGACAGTGATGGGGACGGTAGGCACCGTGTGCGGCTCGCCCCTGGCTGCCCAGCCCAGCTTACCTGTAGCCCCAGGGCGACAGGCTCCTCTTGTTGGACAGCCACAGCTGCAGGTTGACCTCGCACTTCCTCTTGGCCAGCTCGGAGCTGTTCCTCAGCTGGGCCACCATCTCCCCGAGGTTCCTCTCGTACTCCTCCATGCGGGCATACGGCTTCGCCTGGGACACCAGGTCCAGCGGCACCTGGTGAGGCCCTGGAGCCAGGGTGCCAGGCCGCCCTGGCCCCTTCCTCTTGCCTTTGGGGTTCCTGGGCTGGCCCAGCCCCAGGAAGATGGAGAGGGTGAGAAGGAACAGCTGGGGAAGAAGGCCACATGTCAAAGGTAGGAGAGCCTGGGCTCCGGCTCTGGGCCAAGGCTCAAGGCCCAAGAAGGAGAGAGGGAAGAGAGCCTCTGTGGGGACCACCCTCACCACCTGCCATGCGTGGCCTGGTGCCGCAAGGCCACCACACGTGTACCACAAGTGTGTGTATGTACCATAGTCATCGCTAAGTCCTACCTGAGGCACCTCTCAAACATCTCACCACACTTCCACTTCTCTGGGCAACCATCCTCACTTCCCTCAAAAGCTTCCTACCTGGGCTCCCCACATCCTCCCTGGCTCCTTCGGTCTGTTCTCCATACCAGGGCCAAGGACAGGTGTTTGAAATGTAAATCTGATCATGTCACCCTCCAGCTTAGCAGTTCACCTTCAGGGTAACAACACCCCGACTCTGCCACACGGTCTGACCTTTACCTCCACAGACCACCCCTGATTCCTCTCACACCTGTGCGCCAGCCTCTGGCCTTCTCTGAAGCCCTTCTTCCCACCATGATCCTTCCTGCCACAGGGACTTTGCACAGGCTGCTACCTGCAGAGTCGTGCCTCCCCTCACCTTCTGAATGCCTCTTAGCCCTCATGTCTCAGCCCAGTGTCATGTCCTTAGGGATGCCTCAGTGGACTTTCTTGGGCTCCCAACACCACACGCCCCTTGCGTGACTGTAGACTTATTGTGCGTGTGTGGCTCTTTTATACGGCCGTCCCCCACCAAGCACAGACTTCGTGTGGACAGACATTGCAACAGTTTCCACATAGTGTCTCAACCCCCGTGACTGGGTCAGTGAACGGCTGTCACCAGCCCTGCCCTTCTGTAGCTCACCGTCTGGGATGGGGAGCACACAGTAGACAAGAAACAAGCCCCTAAATCTCTTGGGGCTTGTTGTTGAAGATGATGAGGTGGGCTGCATGTGGCTGGGGATCAGGGACACCTGCTTAGCCGGTGCAGTGGATTGGTCCCCCAAGGCCTTTCTGGGGAGCAGGCATGTAGGTGAGGTCTGAAGCATAAGAGGGAGGCAGATGTGGGCAGAGGGAGTCTAAATATCTCACAGGGAGGGGGGCAGTGTGAAAGGAGGTTTGAGTTGGTGAAGAGCTGTGCTGGGGAAACCATGAGGCTGCAATAAGAGTATGCGGAGGAAGCC